TCTGTTGGGGCATTACATATTAATGTTTTTATATTAAAATAGCAAAAATGACCCTTTGTTTTCCAATGCAATACACAGATATTTACTTACTTTGGTTTTGGGTTGCAGAAGTGATGTGCTGAGAATCCTGGAAAGAAAATGAAAAGTCTCTAGTTATTAAAACATAGAATCTATAAATCTAAGGGCAAAACGGTAGAGCTTTTAATATTGAAAGGATAGTCTTATGAAACTTTCGAATACATAGAAAAATGGAAATAGTACAGAAAATACCCACAATACCCACCACATACATCCTATAATTCACCTTTCCTGCCATGACCCTTATAGCTTTCCGTCCCTCTATATTCAATCAATCTCATTTTTTGATGCATAGGTTGCAAACATTGATTAATCTTTTTTTAAAACACATCAAAAAGCTTTCATTGCTTTTGTTCTTTCCTAGAGTTTATTTTTCCTTTGGTGTTGAGCAAAAACATTTTTAGACTTTAATACTTTACTTTAAAACCAGTAACAATGAATCACCTTTTAAAAACACTATGATTAGAAAATAGATAAAATAGCTAACTTATGGAAAAATGTAGGTTTCTATAGACACATGTTCTTTTGAAAACAGTTATCTTAGAAAGTAGTAGGTACAAATTCTTTTTGCTATATACATTAAGCAATGTGCGTTCATTCCAGGCTGAACACAGTACAGATCTGAAGGTGCTACTTCTACACTCTGAAAGGTTTCCAAAAGTATAATGGACCCCCCCAAAAAAGGGAAAATGACAATGTTTTAACACATGTTTGCAAATACCATAATGAAAAAACACACAAGTCAGCAGTTCATTTCCTTGCTATATTAAATCTGCATTAGTGCAGCTAATCACACTAAACTCTGAGACAATCTAGGACGTGAGAGACGTGTAAGGCATGTGCATGTATGTATGTGTACACACCTAAATTCTGAACCGGGAAGCAGACGTTTCTCCGTACTCCCTCTGTTTTCCCATCTCTAAAATAAGGACCCTCGCCTGAGAAAATGTACTGAGAAGTCCTGAATGCTTTAATAAGCTGTAAAGCCTTATACAAATCTAAGATGTCGTTACAGAAGTTGGAGAATAAAGTGTTTGAATGCATCATGAAGCACTATAGGAGCTAAATTAATTATAATTTTTACCTAATCTCTAAAGATTTCAACTTTTTTTTTTTAAATAAAAGTTGGCCAGTTAATTTCTCTATTTTTAGTAGAGACAGCATCTCACTCTTGCTTATGCTGCAGTGTAGCTCACAGCAACCTCCAACTCCTGGGCTCAAGCGATCCTCCTGCCTCAGCCTCCCGTGTAGCTGGGACTACAGGCATGCGCCACCATGCCCGGGTCATCTTTGTCCTATATATTTTATTTTATTTATTTATTTTTTGAGACAGAGTCTGACTCTGTTGCCCAGCTTAGAGTGAGTGCTGTGGCGTCAGCCTCGCTCACAGCAACCTCCAACTCCTGGCCTCAAGCGATCCTCCTGCCTCAGCCTCCTCCCGAGTAGCTGGGACTACAGGCATGCGCCACCACGCTCGCCTAATTTTTTCTATATATATTAGTTGGCCAATTAATTTTATTCTATTTTTAGCAGAGACGGGGTCTCGCTCTTGCTCAGGCTGGCCTCGAACTCCTGACCTCGAGCGATCCTCCCGCCTCGGCCTCCCAGAGTGCCAGGATTGCAGGCGTGAGCCACCGCGCCCGGCCGAGATTTCAGCTTTGCAAAGTAACACTTCATCAGCCTGGCTCACGGCAATACCTGCGACTTTCCAGTAAGGTGGCGGGGGGGGGGACCTGCTATACTTGTCCCGAATTACCTTCGTGGGGAAAGGAAATTTGGAGGGCTCGGCTGTGCCAGGCGTGTGTACTGCTGTCAGAGGAGGTGGCCACGAATGGGTCATTTCCTGGAAAGAGATTTGGGAAGGGAGGAAGAAGGCGATTATAAATTACAGAACAGTCACTGTCACTCAACATTTCGAATCAGACGTGTTGCGGATTGATGGCGAACGAAAAATGTAACCTTAAAAGTTATTTCATTCACTTTTTTTAAAAAAAAAAATTCCTACTTTTAATGGGCTGTATTTGAATACTGAAGACCTCTAACTTAGAAAATTGGGGTGGGGGGGGGAATCGGTTTGCAGAAGGAAAACCAGAGTGTAGAAGTGAATGGATTTAACACCCTGAATACCATCAACTGAGCACAGATACTGTCTAGGCACTGCCAGGGGCTTGGAGCTGTGGGGACCGCAGGGGACAGGTTGGGCGAGAAAAAGCTGTCCCTGCTCAATGCTGCTCCCACCCCCGGCTCCTTTATTGCATTTCCTGGAATTATTTCAGTTCAAAGGAGGAAGAACTTTCCGGTTTGACTTAAGCAAACAAGTAATCCAGGTCACTTGTTCCACTTGGGAGAGTTTTAATGGATTTGACCCTTAACTGATATACTCTGCTAGCACATAAGAA